TATTTCCTTGTGAAAGGATTCGTTTCCGTCAATCTTCTACAGGAAACTGGACTTCTGCTAGTAGTTCAGGACACTGAGGTCACTCTCTTAATATTTATCCACGTGTTTCACTGGAATCATTCAACGGTTTGCTAGAAGACAAAAAGTCATCCACGTTTTTCCTGGTTAGCTCTAATCGAATTCGTTTGTTCACATGAAACATTATATTTATGTGAAACGCTGGCAAGTTTCCAATGAGATCAAGCCCTGAAACACTTCATCTCAAGGGAACTTGGCCAAAGCAAAAGTCAAAAGCCTGATCTTACTGTCAGTTTCTCACACAGGCAGCGTTGTCATACTTGATAAACTGTCCAACACACACAAGCCTTCAAGTTACACTGCTCTTCCAGGCTGTGGTCATTCCCAGCAAAAACACCCTACAAAGCCCACCCTGAAGCACACACTCAGTGCTCAACAAAACACAGTTACACCAACGGTACCAGATACCCTCAACAGGGCCGAGTGAAATGATTCTTAAAGACTACAAAAATCTAAATAGTTAGAAGAAAAGTGTCGAAGTTTACATGGGCAAAGAATAAAGGGCCCAGCTTTACTCTACTGTCTGACTCTCAGAAACAGGGACACTTAGAGGCAGAGCTAGGTTTTAAATTGCCTTTCTATAGAATCATGTAAACTGTAAAATTAAGCATCACACCTTTACTAAATTGAGTAATGTTTCTTAATTACAGCACGAATAAAGAAAAATGCTTAACTAGATTTAGAGTGGAAATTTTCATAGTTATTATCTGTGAACACAGCTAGTGTAGATGAAACGGCTGAATTCAAACTCCTGCAGCAATAGGAAACACACTCCGAGCACGTGGAGACACAAACTGGAAAGACAGCTGCCCCCTTTAAAATCCTGGTTCCAAATATTCAATTAAATTCAATTAATTTTTATATAGCGCCTTTCACAACAAGGTTGCCACTAGGCGCTTAACAAAGCAAGTGACCAAGCATGTGAATACAGAACAGAAAAGACCAGAAGACAACAGAGGAGAGGAACCAAAAACATCTTAGTAAGGAGAAAAAAAAACTCTAGGGGTCCAAGGTCAACTGGCTGCCCAAGCCCTTTGGGCATGCTAACATTATATAATTTTTTAAAAAAAGGAAATATGAGAATGAGAAATATTTCATGAACAGAGCTCGCTGCACTGGTGTATGAGTACGAAACTAGAGACTGAGCCAGCAGGGCAGTAAGAGGCGAGATGCCTTCATTGTAGATGAAGTGTTAAGATCATGTGATGGGTAAGGAAGTCAGACAGTGAGGAAGCAACTGCCGGTATCTGTCATCATTAAGCAACTTCATAAGAGAGAGTTTGTGTCCAAACTCTGAACGCCAGACAGCAGAGTCCCGGAGTACTGTACATGATGATTTGACAACCGAGGGGTTAAAGAGAAAGACCGAGAAGGAGACGGGCTGACACCCTCAGTTAGAACGAATCATGTGGGAGGATCGGGCAGCTCCTGCACTGGACAGAGCCTCATTTGCAAACCAGGGTGAATAAGGCTTAGAAGACTCAATTACTAACAAGATGAGCTGCTGCTAATTATCATGCTAAATCCTGTAAGAAACTTTGATGAGCAATGGTTCTCCCAAACACATTGTTAACATTGTTGAGCTGTTCGCTTGATCTAAGCAACGGCAAGATAAGCCCACAGGGTCATGAGTTGCCAATATTCATCCCAGCGGAGGTGTAATTCTTATGCAAATCTCCTTCATCACAAAGGCAATTTTAAAATTCTCTCCTATCTCACAGAGCCCATCTGAAGGCTGTCAAAAAACAAAACACTGTTAAGAACAGGTCAGAACAAAAACAGAAGGTCTGAAAAGTGTAGAATCACTCACAGCTCACTCTTCTCAGATAAATGCCCCAGGTTGTAGCACAGCATGCGAGAGCCAAATGAAGGAAGTTGCTGCTGTAACTTCAGATCATGAATTTACACCATGTTACTCCAGGCCTACTGGCAGCTCCGTCAGACTGTCACTGAGACACACTGGAGGTGAGCTCAGGGCACTGAGGGAGCACCAGAAAGGAAGAATAATTTCTAAGTAAGAGTTAGATCTAGAGACACTACAGTATTCAAATATACTGGAAGTACCAAAGCAGCGAAGAAATCTACCAGGAACCTCTCAAATCATACCTTAACAAGCTCAGTGTGTGACGGGATATCACAGACAGACTGTGCTCGGGCTCAACAAACCACACAAACCCCATCTGAGACAGAGCTGTGGTAAAGGCAAGCCCTGCCCGGGCTACCGAGCAGTGGCCGCGCATGAAGGAGGAAATGAGGCCTAATATAAATAAACGAATGTAGAGACAGGCTCTCGCGGGGGATATTCAGTATCTGAGAAAGAAGGGCCCGATCTACGTCTGTTCCAATGTGTTTAAAACCCTGTGTTGGGCAAAGTGGGATCGAGAGGCTGGGGACGTGAAGCTCAGGGAACGATACTCCACCGCCAGGCATCTGGTGGCCAGACAAGCACCAAGGAGAACAAAACAAAACAGAGAACCTGGAGGAGCACAAGTGGCATTCTTAGCTTAGAAAATTGGGTAAAAAACATTCTTATAAACCAGACTCATGCAAGTAGTTTTTGAAGTGCCTTTGTCATGTTGTACTGTGTATTTGGCATTTTCTAGAGTGTGATCACTCAAGTGATCATAACTACTGGGACACATTTGCTTTTAGCACTGTAAATGTCAGAGTGTACAAATCTGTATTAGGCTGCGTATCCCTATGAAACAATAACTGCACGATGTCTGCAACACAACCAGCTCGCCAGACTCCTTGTACAAGCGTTTGCCCAGACAGCTGCAGCTATTCTGAGTTTTTGCCCATTCTTGAGGTGTTTCAACTTCAATTATTTCTAAATTGGATTTAAATCTAAAGACTGATTAGACTTAAAGTTTAAGATTTTAAGTTTTTCCTCCTAAGGAACTTGGCTGCAATGGCCAAACATTTTGTGTCCCTGTCATGCTGCATGATGAAGTGCTGCTCCATAAGTACAAAAGGATCTTGTTTCTGAAAACTGCTGCCCTCATCAGTGACATCATCACTACCGGCCCGACCCAGGCCATAACCTCCTCCAGGCTTCACAGATGAGCTGGCATCTTCAGAGCATCTGCAGGTCCTTTCTTTCCCCTTACTTTAATCTTTCACCTACTTTAGTAAAGGTTTATCGTGGTCACATCTGTCCATAAAACTTGTTCCGAATGTCTCCTGACTCATCTTTACAATTCTCAGCCAATCCTAACTTGGCCTTTCTGTTCTTGGTGCTGAGAGGGTTATATTTTTTTTAATTCTGCTGCCTCAGTCTTGTGCAAACTGTGGATTCTGATACCATTTTACCCCTGCTTTTTGGGAGTTGTTGGTGATCTCACTGACAGTTGTTTTCGAGTTTTCCTTGACAGCTCTGATAATTTTTCTGTCATCAGCTGTAGATGTTTATCTTGGCCTACAAAGTCAGACTTATTGTTAATTATACTTGTGGCATCTTTCACCTTCAGTATATTTCAAATTGTTGATTTTGGTGTGCACAATTTCTGTGCTGCTGTATGATTGTATTTTGCTTTTCTTTCGCCTGTAAAAAATGTATTTAACAGAGAGTTCTTTGGTTTTCATTTTGACTTTCAAATACAGGCTCCAAACTTTGGAACTAAAGTAAGTAAGATGGGCTGATAGGATGTTCACAGCTCTTTTGTGCACATAACTACCCAAAAGCAAACACCTGTTTAACGGGAGAAAACTGTCAGCCAAAAGTCTCTTTAAAACAAACAAGTTCAACACTATCAATTAGTTTAATAGATCCTAGAAGGTGGAACTGAAATGACTTGATTAAAAATAAAATACTTAAGAGTTGTATTTATCAGTCATAATTTTCATGAAATATTTTTCATTTTCATGAAAAATTATGAATATCATTAGAGGTTATAGTTGGAGTTGGAGAGTTAGAATGGTGGGTAATTCCAGTCACAGCTCATTGTGGTTTTCATATCATTTCAGACCTCAGAGACTTGATTGAACCAGTCAGCGCATCAGCTGTTTTCCAGATCTTCAGCTGACACACTGAAAGGTGACTCTAACACCTACAGTAACCCAGCACTCAAAAACCAGGTTGGCTCATGCTGCCTGAAAGCCAAAGATCTGATAACTCCAACAAATACCCCCACAAGCTGGCCGGCTCTGTCTGCCGACAAGCTCACACCATGGCCATAAGTGGACACTCCAGCATGACAACATGACACATCCAAATCGACAAAGAAGTGGCGGAGTACACACAAAATACACATCTCAGATGGCCACAGCAATCTCCAGACCTCAGTCCAATCGAACACTCGCAGATCAAACTCATGAAAGCAGCTTACAGACAGAAACCAAAGTTTCTGATGGACCAAGAGCATTTCTGCTCGTAGAATGGTCGACCCTTAACCCCTTCAGGCACACTGCACTCATAATACACTACAATTAATATCACACTGCACTCATAGTACACTACAATTAATATCACACTTGTCATTATGATGCCTACCAAAAGAGGATTTACAGTATACAATATCAACTAAAGGGTTGTGAATAAATGGAACCCTCTTGCTTTCTGAACTTTATTTATGACAAATCCAACTTCACGATTAAGGTTACAGTACATGTTTCTTTTAGTCATCTTAGAAACATGAAGGAGTACATCCAAATTTCCTTTTGCAGGATGGCTACTTTGTCCTCGTTTATCTGGGACATGGACAAACCTGGAGGGCCCTGCACGTGCGTATACACACTGCATATATCTCCAGGGAAAGAAAAACCTCAAAACAAGCTTTCCTTCCTCCTGTTGCCCCTCTCAAATGAGCTGCATTCACACAAGATTCAAAGAATAAAACTTCAAAAAGATGAACAGCTTCTGTAGGCAGCAGTCAGGAGCTGGAGAGCTGCCATGAGGATGCAGGGAGATGCTGCGTACTTACCCATACAGTTGTGCCCATCATGTGCCAGCATGAAGCCATCGTAGCATGTGCACCTGTAGTTGCCAGGAATGTTGATGCACTCGTGAACGCAGCCACCAGTGTGGTCGTTGTCACACTCGTCGATGTCTGGAAGACAGGTAGGAGGACAGTGTTCGTGAGAGGGGTGCCTACAGAGGGCAGGACTTGAGCCTGGCACCAGAGGTAAGGTATGAGGGGGGCTCTGGTGCAGCCTGGGCTTTGGACTCTGGAGCCCCAACAGGCCCTGGCAGACAGCTGTGGTGGGAGCCATGCTCGGATCACACCTCGGAGAAAGACGAGGGGGTAGGGGGGTGAGAGGAGACAGCCAGCACTGGAGCACACATGCCCCCGTGCTTCACTTTCCAGTCCCCTGCACGAAGAGCAGGAACGAGGTGGGAGGAACCCCGCACACAGATTTTAATATCACACAAAGCTGGCTAAAGCTACAACAAGACTCACATAAACGTGCTTATTTACACCCTTCTACATGGGTGTGAGCATTCTCCTGAAAGTACTTCCAACAGTATATTCCAGAGGCAGATAAAGAGATGATGGAAATGCATAATGCATCTGCCTCAGGTTAGTGTCAGTGGAGAGTGTGATACTCTATCAAACCTGAACGCTCAACACTGTACAGCAAACACGCAAAATATTCATTCTCAAAGCAGATTAAATAGGCGGTTTTGCAATCTCCCGTTAAATTAAACAAACATTAGCTTGACATCTCTTGGAAATGTTTCTTTTCTGTTCCACTGAAACAGAATAGAATAGCTGCAGCATTTTTACTCATGCAGCTGATCTCAGAATGCATTGTCCCCTATTTGGCTACATGTTGTACATTTGCACATGTACATTTTTCTTTTGCTTTAATTTTAAATTACTTTAATGTTGAACTTATTATGTTGTATATGCAGCCATATCACTATGCAGCTCACAACTGGCAACCCACTGGAGCTCAGCAGGTGTGAGCCTGGTCAGTACCTGGATGAGAGACCTTCTGGGAAAAACTAAGGTTGCTGCTGGAAGAGGTGTTAGTGGTGCCAGCAGGGGGAGCACATCCTCTGGTCTATGTGGGTCCTAATGCCCCAGTACAGTGATGGGGACACTATACTGTAAACAGGCGCCGTCCTTCGGATGAGGCGTAAAACCGAGGTCCTGACTCTCTGTAGTCATTAAAAATCCCAGAGTAGGGGTGTAACCCCGGCGTCCTGGCCAAATTTCCCCCTGGTCTTTACCAATCATGGCCTCCTAATAACCCCCATCTCTGAACTGGCTTCAACACTCTGCTCTCCTCCCCACTGAGAGCTGGTGTGTGGTGAGCGTTCTGGCGCACTATGGCTGCCGTCGCATCATCCAGGTGGATGCTTCACATTGGTGGTGGTGGAGGGGATCCCCATTACCTGAAAAGCGCTTTGAGTGGAGTGTCCAGAAAAGCGCTACATAAGTGTAAGGAATTATTATTATTATTATTATTATTATTATTATTATTATTATTATATGTTGCACAGTGTTGGCTGACTTGGCTATCTCAGAGATCTGAATCTAAGTGGGAGTGGAACAGTGGAACAAACTGTAAAAAGACACCCTGGATTATTTCAAGAAACATCTGGATGAGATCCTAGGACTAATCACCTGCTTACAATCTAACTAAACAGGGTGGATGGCCCAGATGCCCTCTGTAACCATTCTTATGTTCTTAACTTCTAACTTAAATACACCGGTGACTGCTTGAGTACTGGCTTTCATATTACCACAGTACTAGTACAGATTTGTGTTTCTAAAACAGGATCATTTTCTTTGCACTGAGCAGAGGACATCCTCCACACTACAAAACTAAGCAAACTGATTAAACGTAATATTCCTTCATGAATGAGAGTCCTTAAAACGTCAGGTAAATTTTGAGATCCACAGTACTACAGCAGAACTGTTATTGTCGTGTTTATCTTCCTTGATGGTGGAGAACATGAAGCACTTGAGCAGCTGTATCGCAGGAAGAGGAGATCCTGGGACATCATCACTGGAAAGGTTCTAGAGACGTTCCTGACACCGACCAGGAAAGTTTAACTAATTATCAGGCTGTGTGCTTTATTGAGCATCACAGGTGACAGATATGGAGCATTTAGGTGCAGTTTTCTACTCAAGTCATGTCGGTGTGAAATTAGCACTAATTGGAAGAATTGTCTGTAGCCTTTCATCTAAACTCTGATCAAATCTGTTGACATTTATCATAAAATACAATTCTATTCACAGTGGTAGGGAAGGGGTGGCTTGTTCATTAATTTAAGATATTCCTTTTACAGGGGAAAGGTAAAGGCAGTTTTTAACCTGAAATCTTCAGATGGGCACTCCATATATGTAGGCTGTATGAAAATTCAATTCAAATAATTTTAGTCTATTAATCTATTATTTTTGCTCTGTCAAGTCTCCGATAGACAGAAATGTGTGAAATGTCTACACTTACAGTACATGAAAAATAACTCAATGTGAATTTTAGCCAGTTACACATTAATTCGGGTTCTCTGTTCCATCCGATTTCACACATACAGAAAAATGTGTTCACAACTCTTTCACCAGATTATTTTTCCAACGTCCTGGTTAATATTCGAATTTGGCACAAACTTGATTTTCATTCTAACATATATACAAAAGATAATGGTAAAATACTTTCCCAGCTGTGAGAGTCTTGAGAAGAGACAGGGTGTTCAGAGATTCTGCACACTACCTGGGACATTTGACAGCAATTACAAAAGGAAATCTCAGATTAGCACATTTCCTTCATCAAAAACACATGACAAGCGGTTTGCTCTTGTGCGGAGCACAAACGTCTTGTTGAACCGCCGCTCACATCAATTCAGCATTGCTGGACTGCATGCTCTGTTGCATGTAAAGAACATGTTGCATGTAAAGAACACATGACTGTATTAATTGGAGAAACTTACTAATATGCACATTTGCTCTTACTGCGAGGTAAAAACTACAGTAGAAACACATTAAAAAAACAATGCAAGTGTTTCTTAATTCTGTGCACTCAAACTGAATAGCAAAAATGGTTTCTGGCACTTTAGTTATCTTATGTTCACCTTCAGTCTTCAAGAACAGTCTTAAGCCTATATCAATGGAATCGTTAACATCTTACTGAACCAGCCTGAACAATGATCCACTTAGTGTTGCAGCGTACTGTGTCATTCGCACGCAGACTGAAGGCAGGTGGGCGTTTGCTTTTTGTTATTAATATGGTTTACATACATACAATTCAGTTACAAAGAGCTGCACCAACTGCCCCTGTAAATCCGGAACAGGCACTGGGTGTGGTTACTAATGCAGAGTGGCTAATGTGTGAAAAACTGTAGCGCAGAATCTCGCCGGAACAAACAAGAGCAGGTGCCCGACGCATCACAAAATGGTGACCTCTGTCAAGGTGGCCGCGAAGGAAGCACGAGAAAGCTTCCAAACAGGAGGAGGCAATCCTGCACATTTTCCTCATTTGGGAATCCAGTAGTTCATAGATCCCTGGAACCTGTCTTGAAAAACACAAGGGTTTGAGCTTCGGCAGAATGGCTGGGTAGCGTGTTCCAGACCACTGGCCAGGTAAAGAAGTGCCTCCTTCTTTTGTGAAGGCACTCCCACTGTGTTTCCAGTTTTGTCTTCCGGTTTGTGTTTCACTGTTCACTCTGAAGAAATCTGCCAGGCAGACTTTGTCAAGGTGTTTGAGGATGAAAACTTGTCTCACGTCCCCTCATGACCTTTTCTGTTGAAGATGAAAGTATTCATTTCCTTCAACTTGTCAATTAGGGGAATAGTTTAATCCCCTAAACAATATCTGTATCTGGTCGCTCTTCTCTGGATGGAATCTAGAGCAGAAATATATTTTTATAACATCATACCTAAAATACCATAAAACACAGCATTTTAAGTGAGGTCTTCCGAGTGCATTAAAGGATTTAAAAATAACATGATTGATTTTTCTACACTTCTAACTATAGTCTGAGCACACTGTTTGTCTTTGTATTACGTCCCCACATTGCCTGGAAGATTTGCTTGTCCTTCTAGTTTGGCATCATTTGCAAATCAGAGTAGTTTACAATCTACTGTATATCAGAATCTAGACTACTGGCATAAATAAGGAAGAGTAGTGAGTGGTCCTAATACAGATCTCTGAGATCGTCCACTAATTACATAACCCCGAATTGAGCTTTTACACCTTCTCTCAATTCTTAATCCACACATCATCACCATCACTTTCAATAACCGCTTATCCAGTACAGCAGCCCAGAGCCTATCCCAGGAGGCACTGGGCGCAAGGCGGGATACACCATGGATGGGACACCAATCCATCGCAGGGCAGACACAGACACAAACATGTCTCACACTCGCACCAGGAACAACTTGCTTCAGGTCCTGTCATTACACTTCAAGTGGGTTCAGGTCCAGACTTTGACTTTGCCAATCTAAAATGAGATTATTATTCTTCAGTCATTCTGCTGTGTCTTCTGTCTGCTGGTATAGATCACTATCTTCTTTCAGCTCAGCTTCAGCTGACAACTGGCTGGACTGACGTCCTCCTCCAGATGTGCTGATACAACACTGGATTCATGGTGACAAGCCCATGAAGCCCATGACTCAGGACCAATGATGACAATGATGACGAGTCCTTCTGGTCCTGAGTCAGCAAGCAGCCCCAAACCCTGATCCTCCCTCCTCCCTGCTTGAGGGCTGGGGCAAGGCTCTTCTGTTGGAAAGCAGGCTACTTAAGCTATGTGAGTATACAACAACAACACAAGAACAGCGAGTGCAGTTTGTAAATACAGTCGTCGAGCAAACCACAGTGTTTATGTGTCCCAGGACTTACTTTGCTAAATATTTGGTGTGATACTATTGGCAAAGAAGCAAAATACAACAGGGGTTTCTTATGAGCTGTTCAGGAAATGTGATTTCTACCCAAAAGAGAAACAGTGCTGTAGAGACATAATGGTCTATTGCTAAATGAGCGTTTCCGATGAACGGAAAGAAATGTTAATCCCTTTTTTATCTTAACCAATTTATATTGCATCATTGTGCAGATCAATACATTTCAGAAACGGTAAGTTTGTGTAGACCTACTGTTTATA